GTATCAATATCACAAGCGATCTTACTAGAGATCGCATGAGCGATCTCGCGATCGATCTCACTATCGACCTCATTGAATCGATTTCACTCTCGGTCTCACGTTCGACCTTACAATTGTCTTCACTATCGATTCTTCTATCGATCTCATTATCGATCTCACAATCGATCTCAAGGTCCACAGTATCAATTTTCAAATCATCCACTGATTGGATTTTCTCCGGTGTACTTATTAAATCTGTAAATGTGTGATTGCCCCCGCTTAGAGCAGGGGGGTGGGGTGCAGGGGCTCAGAAGGGACGAGGCCCGCCCCGTGGAGATACCCCCCACAAACCAAACAGATCACGGCCTTCCCAGAGGCCACGGAGAGCACGTGGCCTCTGGCGGCATTCGGAGGGAGGTCCCCGCTCGCGGGCAGCTGATGCGCGGGACGAGCGCTGGGCACAACGGGGCCCCCCCGCGGGGAGCCACACGGCGAGACTTTCGCGGTGGCGCTTGCCCGGGAGGAGAGGGAGAGCGTCGCAGTCGGGCAGCCGCGGCAGCAACAGCGGCGTTGGCACCGCTCCTGAACCTCACTCTCCTCTCGCCGTCATTCGGGACAGAAACGGCATAGGCGAGACGAGCAGGGCGCACGAGAGGTGGCTCATCCTTCCGTGGCCGAACGGATCGGGGGGGCTCGAGGGGCCCTCCAGGAGACCTCGAGCGCCCGCGAGTCTTCGAATCGATCCCACCCCGACGATCCTCCTCCCCGCCCGAAGACCTCGCGGAGGCAGAAACTTCCGCGGGGCAGAGGCGCTTGGCGAGGAGACCGTGCTGCTGGTCGGAGCGAGTGTTGCGTCCGCGCGTGAAACACCTTCACCCCCCAGCAACAGCATACAAATTATTACGGGAATTTTGGGCTTCCCCGTCCGTCCCCGCGGCCTGCGATTGACGACGGCGACGACGCTCATCAAAACGCTTCTGGCCTGGGGAGGCTTTTTGGCCCATATACAGAGTGTGCGCTTTGGCCATCCATACTCGAGTTTGCTTAACCGAGCAGAGAAGCGCTTTCACAGCCTTGACCTGGGCCTCTGGAGTCGAATGAAGGTCTCTGCCCTGGATAGCGGCAAAATCGGCCCATCGGTTTCCTCGTGCCTCGATCGAGCGACCTTTCTGGTGACCAGGAGTGTAAGCTATCTGTAGATCGGGGCTCAGTCCTCCACGATCTTCAATCCTCGACCAGATGTCTACCCTCAAGTCGGCGTTGGGGCCCTCCGGAGCACAGCTCCAAGCCTTGCCGCGACTAAGACCCTGCGGCAACTCGATAAAATCCGTGAGCAGTGTGATTGGGAGATGAGCGACCCTCAGCAACTGTGCCATGGCGTACATGTCGGCCCTTGGGCTTGACTGGATCGGCCCTGGCAGTGCACCGTATACACATAATGTAACTGCAGTATTGGAGACCTGGGCAAACCCCCATCCCGCACGGCATGCGTCGTTCCAGAAGTGATATTTGAGGCAGGCTCCGTCGGTAAAGACCAACCCTGTAACGAATGAGCAGTCTCCGTAATGGGAATGCCATCCCATCGAATCGACGCTCGGTGGTATCTGTGGCGGTAAGGCCTTGGAGTAGAGACCTCGGCACCAGAACCAAGCCGTGGTGGTCGGGTAGGGCAAGATCACAATACCCGCATCGCCGTAGAGAGTATTTTGGCCTTCTTACGTCGCACCGCACGTCCATGGAATGTGGAAGTAACCGGCTACATTATGGGAGCAGAGCGTACAAGCAGGACTGTCAATGTACCCGAGCGAATGGCGACACAAGCGGCCACATCCCTCCCGTGACCAAGGCTCTAAGAGTGCCCGCCTGTTGGAGAGATGAAATGCGTGGGCGGTCGGGGTCCTCTTCGGCGCGGGCCCGTCGGAGGATGACCAATGCGGGCTCCAGCCAGTATCCCACAGGGGTCTTGGGGTCAGGTTCTCCGAAGCGTCGCGATTGGGCCTGTTGGCTCAGTCAGCCCCTAGCCTACGCGCGGCAGCGGCGCGGGCGAGGTCCCGCAGGGCAGTAGGTGGGAAGCTCCTGAGATCTAAAGTGCCCGCAAGATCAGCCCGCGCATGGAAGGCCGAGGACGCGCGCCACCTCGGGCTCTTCATAGCAGGAATCGTGTCCCCAGCGTGTCCTCCCACACGCCCCCTGGGGCGGGCAGCTCTGAGCACCGCAGGCGCCGTGCGCTGCCAGGCCATCCGAAGTGGGTCGTGCAATCGCGAGTCCCAGCATGGGAGGCCCCATGAATGCACGGGGTCAACCCGAGCAGCGATCTGAGGGCCCCGAGCCCCTCCCCTGCGCAAGAGAGATGAGGTCCCGCGCGCCGCGAACCCCATGAGGGCCGCGAGCGTCGCACTCGCAAGTGGTTGTGGGGCCCCGTGCGCACCCGCGCCGTATTTGAGGGCAGGCGGAACCGCAGCCTTGGCAGCTGACCTGCCTTCTGGGCGCGTCGGAGCCGGCTGCGCCTCGCGCGCATCGGACGCACCCTGCGTCGGAATCGGGCGAGCCCGATGGCTTTGCCTGCGGAGACTTCCCCACGCCCGGGACTTCCAGGGAGTCTGAATGCCCGATAGCCCAGCTCGCTCAGCACACGGCATGCGCGCTTAGCGATAGGCATGCAGGTAGAGGCGACCGTCATTTTTCTCTTGGCAGGAGCCAGCACGATTTAATACAATGCATCGACCACGCCCTGCAACACAAGACACGCATGCTGTGAGATGTGGAACGCCCTGGCAAGTATCTGTATAGTCAGATCATCAGCATACACGCGCAATGTCCTGTCTACTGAAACCGAGGAGGGGACCAGGTCGTCCAGCGGGGTGAGCATGGCGAGTTGTAAGATATACACAGCCAGACTACATCCAGGTAGTGCCCCCCTAGTGGCCCAGACAGCTTCCGAAAAAAAAGCTCCAGACCAGTCTAGCGCGAAGAGAAGCAGCGTACATGTGCATTGCGAGAACCAGCAGGGGCCCCGGGCAACCATGCAAGAGCCCAGCCTTCAATATTATCGACCAGACCACCGAAGTCAGCGATGGCACGCACGCTCGCAAGGTCGTCATGATGCATTTTTTCTTCGGCGGGTGCGCCTCGCCATTGAGCAATATTCTCGCGGCCGCATCCGTCGTCGCAGGGTTGGTTCTGAGCGCAATGTAGTCACGACCGAGCTGATTCGCCCAGTCTCTCACAAAGTCCAATCGGGCTTTCAAAGGCGATAGAGCCAAACCAGAAGGGCAATAGGTCGGTGCTCCCCTGCTGGCTTTTGTAGCAACGCGATGCGTACCTGCAAGAGATACCTAGACCAGGCCCCCCCCCCACTGCTCGCGCATGTAGAATCGATGTCCCAAGACAGCCAGAGCCTGATCCGACACATGGGCCCAATGTCGAAGCCTTCGCGAGTCGGCTCCCACGGCGGCCCTAATAGGGAGGGACTTGGCGGCCCTGCGGAGCCTGGAGATCCCCATGGGAAGAATGCGAGGCCCAGGGTCCCGAAGACGATCGAGTTCCTCGTGAAGGGGCTCCAAGGAGACGGGCGCGGTACCACCGCCCCAAATTCCCCCCCATAAATCCCGCTGGCTGTTGGCGACGTCGTCGTCGTAACTGCAGGGGCCCAAGGAAGCGTTCACCTGGCTGAGCTGGCATCATGTCGGATTTGTCCGCATGTGTGCTGGCTTGGGACGGCTACTTAAACTATCGCGACGCCATTTCAAGAAATTGCGCCCTCGAGCTCGGCCGAGCCTCTGCTCCCCCTGATCTGCGAGGGCAGCTGGGCACGTGGCGGCAGATCGCGACATGGGCGCGTACGTCCAAGCCGGCTGCGTAAAGACTGCAGTGAGGTAGTGCAAAACTTCATCCAAGAGAGCAACTAGCATGACCTTCGCCAATCGCGCAAGGCGGCCTTTCCCCGCAATCAGGTCGCGTAGAGGTTTGCCAAACCGTGTGATGCTTAGCAACTGGCATGGAGCCATGCTGGCGCACCGTGCGGGCCAGGTCTTTCAGTCGGTGCTGTAATGTACGCGCGGCTCGAGAGTATGTAGTGCCCGTAGGCCTGTGATTAACTATGGCTCCGCCGGCGGTGCTGTGATGGTATTCCAGCCTGCCACCCCGACCAGTGTGCTTGCTGGGGTCGTCGCACTGGAAGAGTGGTACCAGCTCCTTCTCGGCGCCACAGTTGACGGCTTGGCGCATGTGATCGAGCCGACCTTGTCTCGAATCTGGAGTTCCCGTTCCGAGGTGGACGTCCGCTTCCATGATGCCAGCCCGAGAGCATCCAGGATGCCCATGCTCCACTGCAGCGTCGGGGGGGTCGTCATCATCGCCCAGCAGTGGTGGAAAAAGTAGGCTTCGGAGCGTAAGGGCGTGGGGCCTTGGGCTTGGCGACCTGGCGAGCTCGCGGCCTGGGCCCGACGTCCTCCGCCGTGGGATAGTGGGGGCGCGGTGGGTAGTCAGCAGCTCGCCGCGCCTGCTTCATGTCCGCAGCAAGGCTCCCATGGGCAACCCAATAGTCCAAGAATGTGTGCTCGCCTATATTCGCCACCCTGTGAGAGCCAAGAGATGCCGCGACCAAATGACCGTCGACCGTCTCGGCAAACTTTGACTCGCTCAGCTTTGCCGGACTTATGTTCCAATCTGCGGCGGTTATGAAAGGGGCATGGTCGACGCGCAACAGGGATCCGAGGTTCTCCAGTCGAGAAGCATTCTCTCCCCGCAGCGCAAGGCCTTGCTCCAAGTAGATGGAGCAGGCCACAAAACCACTGCGAGGGCCTGTGTGAACGTATACAGCGACGCACCAGCTGGGCACAATCACATGGTTGCATATACCTTCCATAGCATCAAGGTATGTCGCCCCGATGTGGCGGCGAATGAATAACCCCGAGCCTGTCATCGGCTTACCAGTTGGACCCACAACGCAGTCGGTGATGAATGTTTTCCAACCGTGGCGATGACACCGCTCTTCCGCACGCAGGCGCGCGTCCCCAGAGAGGCGCGCCTCCTGAGGTGCCGCCAAGGCGCGGCCCCCTGCCCCTTCCTCGAGGTAGTCCTTGCGGCGAGGCCATCCACTGGCATTGTAGGTAGAAATAGTGAGGGCCTTCCGTCCCGCCCTCCTGGGGGCGCACCGGGCGGCCGCATTTCGCGGGCACTGCGCGGGCGGCGTCGCAACTGAAACTTCCATCGCAACGCGCCGCACCAAGTAAATGCAGTAACTGAGGTCATTGAAACCACTATCCACGCTCCATCTCCTCTGTCGGTCCACCTGATAGTATGGTCGTGGGCGACGCATGGCTGCTGGATGCCTGCGAAGTCTTAGGGAATGGCGGGCGCAGGTATGCCAGTCGGCGCCGTCGCAGGAGCGGTCGCCGATGTGCTGCCAGTGGCGCCGCCCCCGGAGGCCACGAGCCCCATGAGCTCCTGGGCCTGCCGCTCCAAGGAGGCGAGCGTGGCCTGCTAGTTGCCTGCCAGCAGTGCACCTGGAGCACCCTGCACGACGGCAACAAGGCGATGCGCCGAGTCGGTGAGCTGTCGGGGCGGCGCTGCTGTGTTGGTTCCAGTAGAAGCCAAAGCGGCAGCCCGTGCCAGATTGACCTCGTGCTGGATGGCGGTGAGCTCGGTAGTGGCCGTCTCAAGTGATTTCCGCTTTGTAGCGAGCTTGGACTCCATGTCGGACACGCTGGCCTTGAGCTCGTCCACCTTCTCTGTGCGGAGCATGTCGTCTGGAGTTCGCTTCGACTGCTCGTCAGCCTCGGCAATTGGCAAATCCTTCCTGGCTTGGGCGACGAGGGTGGGGTCTTCGGCGGGCCCAAGCTTCCGAAGTGCGTTGAGCGCCCGTCGTGCACTAACCACGGCGTCACCTGCGGTGACCTCTGTATCTTTGCTGTCGTCGGGCTGGCGTCCATAATTCGCACCTCTCGTACGACTACGAAAGGGGGGCCTGGACGAATTTCGCTGCTCAGGGGTGAAGTTGGGGTCTGGAACGCCCCGCTTATCGCGCCCACATCGGTAGCAATGAGTATCGCTGAAAGAATTCCCTGGACAGCCGCACTGCCTCGTCGCAGCACATGCCAATTTCGGCTCTTTCTGGAGTGGCGTTCTCTTGTGCGAAGTGGCGGGGCCATCGCCTCCCATCGCTGGCGCAAGAGCTCCGTGATGTAAGCTGAGTATGTCCGTCGCCTGTTGTATCCTCAGAAACCTGCGGGCAGCCGAGCGCCTTCGGCGAAAAGCACGGTGCCACGCAGGCGAACGTGATCGAGGCGAAGGTAGGTCAGAGCGACCACGCGCTTCCTTGAGCGCAGGCGCGGGCCTCGGGGCAGGTACAGTATCGGGCGTATGCATGCCACGTGTGCCTGCCAGCCTAGGAAAAGGAGGAGGAGGAGGAGGAGGAGGAGGAGGAGGAAGCTGAGGAGGAGGAGGAGGAGGAGGAGGAAGAGGAGGAGGAGGAGGAGAAGGAAGAGGCGGAAGAGGAGGAAGAGGAGGAGGAGGAGGGAGCCAGAGCGCGAAGATCGGCCTCTGGGCCACCTGGGGGGGGACCGCGCCGTGCCCCCCCCCCCCCCGGGGTAAGGTTGACCAAACCTTGTGTTTGTGTGTGTGTGTTGTGTGTGTTGTGTGTGTGTTGTGTGTGTTGTGTGTGTTGTGTGTGTTGTGTGTGTTGTGTGTGTTGTGTGTGTTGTGTGTGTTGTGTGTGTTGTGTGTGTGTGTGTGTGTTGTGTGTGTTGTGTGTGTGTGTGTGTTGTGTGTGTGTGTGTTGTGTGTTGTGTGTGTGTGTGTGTGTGTGTTGTGTGTGGGTGTGTGTTTGTTGTGTTGTGTGTGTGTTGTGTGTGGTGTGTGTGTCTGTGTGTGTGTTGTGTGGGTGTGTGTGTTGTGTGGTTGTTGTGTTGGTGTTTGTGTGGTGTGTTGTGGGTGTTGGGGTGTGTGTGTGTTGTGTGTGTGGTGGTTGGTGTGTTTGTTGTGGTTGTGGGTTGTGTGTTGTGTGTGTTGTGAGTGTGGTGTGTGTTTGTTGTGTGTGTGTTGTGTGTTGTGTTGATGGGTGGTGTGTGTAGTGGTGTTGTGTGTG